TTCCTTTCTTTCCTTTCTATTCGACTATATTATTCTATTGTTTTTGTTCAGGATAGGGTTCGGGTCAAACTCGATATCTTGGTATTTCGATTTGGTGTTTTAGGGTTTTAGATTTTTTGGTTGTGGTCTAAATCGGAAACAGCCTCCCCAGGGTAGGAGTAAGTCCTGCGTACACGCGTTGCCTAGCTACACACTACCCTCGCCAGACTAACCTCGTAAACTAGTGGGATTATACTGAGTTGTTGTTGTTGGTCTAAAATGTTTTCGGGGTTAATTTACAGCTGACATTTGCTAGATACTGTATTATTTATGGGTATTAAGTCTTAACTGTGATGTGGAGGATTCATAAAGCTAGCTGACCCCAGCTATAGTGGGATTGAGGCATAGTTGATTAATTGATTGATTGTTTAAGGGTTTTTCAAATTGCTGGCCTTTAGTTTTTGGTTGTTACTTCCGTCCTAATGCTGGGAATATCCAACTATCCAAGTAATTAATGGTCAATGATTATGGGAAGCAATGAAAAGACAGGAATATGAATTCATAGAGCCATTCTGACCTAAGAATGTTGGTGAAGAAGCAAAATAATCACGACAATTGGAGCAATTTTGGCATAATATTCATTGCAAAGAAGCAAAATTATCATTTTGAAAATTCTAGCTATGGCATAGGTGAAAAGGAGATGTTTTTGTTCTATTTGCTTAAGTCTTTTCCCTAGGGAGAGTTCTTTTTCTGTTTTCTTTTTTGGGGAGGGGGCAGTGGAGGGTTGAGTTTGTTTAGTTCGGGCTGATGAAATGTCTGTGCTGTGGAACTCCATCTTTGTCCCTCTTCACACCTATTTATCTCCTGAGTTTTGTTACTTGATAATTATTCTGATGAGAAATGGAAGTAATAAAAGGTTGTGGATGTTTGTTTGTTGTAGATCATGAAGGAAGATGATAACAATTGGCCTGAACCGGATAGAGTGGGGAGGCAGGAACTTGAGATTGTGATGGGAAATGAACACATATCATTCACGACATCTAAGATTGGTTCACTAATGGATGTGCAGACCAGTAAAGATCCAGAGGGACTTCGTATTTTCTATTATCTTGTTCAGGTACCGATCTACAAGGTTTTTCTGTCTTTTTTACTTTGTACAAATACATCAAAAAGCTTTTTTGCAACAAGTTCCAATGTTTTACACACTAGTTTGTGAAAAATGTAATAGGAATAGCCCATACAGAAATGCAAAAATTCATTCTAGCACATTTTTTTAAATATAATCGCCNTTCTCCTTTCTAATGGTTTAGATGTATGATGTTGGGGGTCGCTTTTCTGGTTGACTTCATATTAACCTGTTTCGCCTTGATTGGAGCTTTAAAAGCAAGATGCTCTTAGAGTCTCAATTAGCTACATACATAACTCAGTGAAAAACAGACCAGGAATAATGGTCCTCTCTTTGTGTAAACTGATGTTATTTGTGAACCTCCTGGACTTGCTCCTGTTCCCAGCTGCTGAGTTCCATAAGAAATATTAATTCCATCAAACTCTATCTTTAGATTGCAATAGAAACTGGGCGGTGAAGGCCTCCATTCCATCTTTAAATGAATAGAGAAGTGAGATTTTGATTTCTTTCCATCAAAGACAAACCAACTTGTTTGGAGATACTCGTTCTTATTGCAGCTGGTGTTAGGTTGTGGCCTGATTTCTACCTAATGCTGCCTATTCAGTCGTTTATTTTCTCCTTTTTTTTTTCCATCTTCCACCCTTTTAACAGCAACATGGTTTGATCATAATAAGAAGGGAGAAATGATGGTTATTTATTATTATTATTATTATTATTGTTACGTTGTCTTTTGGGGATAGGAGGAGAGATTAGAATAGTTAGGAATAAAAGAAAAGAAAGAGTAATGGATATGTGTGAGAAAGTAAGACTTTTTGACTTTTAACTTGAACCAACTTCATCCTTAAGATTCTTGCCAACCTTTTTCTTTCACCTTCCGACCTTACGACAAAAATGATCCTGGATGGTGTTAAGACTGGCTAGCAAGAAAATTGACATTCTTTCATGTTGCAGCAATTCATCTCCTCCTCCTCCTCTATTGCCTTCTTCCCGCTCCCCCTTCATATTGCTAGGCAGAACAAGCAGCTACAAGGCATCTCATCCTCCATCTTGACCCCCTTAAGGCCACATCATAATCCCTCACTTGTCATACGACTTAACCCCAGCTTGGACAACCTTCATCATTCCTCAACACAATCATCGAACTTTCCATCTACGAAGGGCCCAAAAAAGGAGAAAAGAAAAAAGAAGGAACAGAATAGTGAAGAGGGATGAAGGTGAAAATGGTGGAGGATATGGTGGGGGTTTGGAGGGGGTTAGAAGAATGACGGTGGAAAGGGCAAGGTGGGGAAGGGCCAACAGAAAGTGGGCACTCGGTGTGGTAGTATTGTGAGGGACTTCAAATACTCCAGGAATACAATAGTGTTGAAGTTGGTTTGAGTGTGTTGAGTGCTAAACATTAAGGATGAGAACTGCCATTTCCTAGTATGTTTATGTGCACCACAAATATATCTGTGGTTGAAAACGATGAGAGAGCTCACTAGGGTAGGAAACAAAGCCAAAACCTTTGGGAATTAGAGGTTTTCCCAGAAGGAAACTTGGGCTAAAGTTGAAACTGGTAACAGTCTCTCCGAGCTGGGACTAAGCTGCTTGTCAGCTAGGCTCTCATGCACAACCCCTAGTTACTGCACTGCTGATTGGTATCTTGTTGTGTACGCTTGGCTATGCGATGCGTCCTGTGCTAATATGACTTCATAACCTCTAAGTAATTTAAAGCTGCAGCCAAAAAGGATTGCCTTGTAAACATTGGTCTCCAGTCCTAATAAACTGGTGAAATCCCATTGTCGTCTCCTTTCCTTTTATGTCGGAGAGATCTGAAGGATTTCCTGTTCTCGACCAATTAGTTCCACTGCTTTGCGTCATTTTATAATGGTGGTTGACATGTTATTATCTTTAACTCAAACATCATTAATGCATTTCTTTAAGTTTGTTTCAGAAAATTGGTGTTGGTTTTCAGTCTTGGAATACTTCTGCACAATTTGACTCTAGGTTTTCATTGCAGGATTTGAAGTGTTTTGTGTTCTCCCTCATCTCACTCCATTTCAAGATCAAGCCTATTTAACTCATGCATTTGACGTGCTAAAATTTAGCAGGACGTGCTTGGTTTCATGTTTTAAATGTGTTGAGTTGTGTATCCAGGAAAGTTAGAGAAGTGAATTTGTATGATGCCGTTTGGGGAAGAAGTTTGTTCGTTGTTTTGCTTTTGTTAAATTAATGGAATTAGTTGTTTTTTAGACCTTCTGCGAGTAAAGATAAGTTTTCTGTGTTTCTTTTCGTATCTTTCTCTGATTAATCTTGCCGTTACTTGTTAGGCGTTTCATAGCAACATGGAAGGCACGAGATTTTTTGTCATCTAATGTTCTTTGAGCTTTGGTTTGCCGTATTGCTATTGTTTTGCCATAACAAATGGACGTGGCGTGAGAGGTAGTTTTCTTGAGTATTTGATCGGCCTCATCTCAGAATCTTGTAATTGTCCATTCACTAACATCCGTTTTGGTTTAGTGCCTTTGCTATTCCCTTCCCGATGCTTTTTTTTTTCTCATCAGAATCCCAGAGAACTCTAGAAAAGGATACAAAATAGCTAAAAAATCAATTAATATAGCCTAACGGTCAACGAAATTAAAATGAGAGATTCAGTTCAAATTCAAGCAGAGACAATAATAATTTTAGATGATTTCTTTTTTTTTTCGTTTTTGTTTTTTGGTCTGAGCTTTAGTTGATAGTGTTATTTAGTACTTGTGGGCCCAACTTAAAGTCGGGCAATTCTATTTTATTATATTTTTGTTTTCTAAAAGAGAACAAAAATCAGAAGAGCTAGGTTTCTCTGGCCCTTCTTCGTTGTCAACGAGTGGTAGAGCGAATTCCGCGTAAGCATCGTACTTCCGCATACTCTGTCCATATTTCATATTATAATAATAATTATAATTATAATTATAACATAACATTTCATATTGTTAGGCAGAATTGAAAGAAACTAGAAGTGAATTTTCAACCCCTCAAAAACAAAAACAAAATTTGATTTCTTCTACTTAAAAGATCAGTATGCCACGTCTTCCTAATTATAAAACATAATCACGTTGATTAACAATAAAGGATATTAATTCCTGTATTGACCGATTTGTTTTTAAACTAACAGTAGCAGCGATTACGAAAAAGTTAAACTTAATCGAAAACTCTAACACGTGAAGAAAAAATGACCATTTACTATGTCTATGTTCATCCTATCATCGTATAAATCAACTTATATTTACGTCCAAAATTGTGGTGACATTGTTTAGGCAATGTATCAAGAGCACTAGAGATGCGAACACGATTTCAGATTTTATGGGTATAGGAATATCGTAAAAAAATAAATAATTCTATAGAATAAAGCCATTTGAATAAGGAAATTCTCACGTCATTTCTCCAAATAGTCTCCAAATACTTATCCAAAGCAAAACTTAAAATAGATCAAAAATGCTCCTCAAGACTTGCATCCCTTCCTCCGCCATAACCACAACATCTCCACTTCTTTCCCTCACCAAATCCTCTTTACCTTTCTCCCAAAACCTCCGTAAAGTTTCAACCTTTCCACGCACTTCCAAAACCCCATCTCTTTATTCTTCCCCTAAAATGAGTTGGCTCAACAAATTGGGTTTTGGTGCAAAAACTGATAGTACAGCAATGGACTCATCTTCCTCTGCAATTGCACAAGGTCCTGATGATGACATCCCTGCACCGGGTCAACAATTTGCTCAATTCGGAGCTGGCTGTTTTTGGGGCGTTGAATTGGCTTTTCAAAGAGTGCCTGGTGTTACCAAAACTGAAGTTGGGTATACCCAGGGGTATTTACATAATCCTTCCTATGAAGATATTTGCTCGGGAACTACTTTTCATTCTGAGGTTGTTAGAGTTCAGTATGATCCTAAGGAGTGTAATTTTGACACCTTGCTTGATGTTTTTTGGGATCGTCATGACCCCACTACCCTTAATCGTCAGGTAGGTTTTTGAAAACTTTCATCGGTTTTATTTAATGGTTATTGGTTGAATTATTGTTTTGTGGACTCTATGTTTTAAATTATCTTCTTATGTTTGGAAATATTTGGGGTTGAATTTTAGTGGAGAGGAAGTTTATGTTAAATCTTGGGCTTCCATGGTCTTCAATTTAATCGATTTGTTCTAGTTAAGGGCTTGTTTGATGTGAATTGGGAAGCTGTATATGGTCACTTCTTCTTTAATTTTCGTGCTCTCTTTTATACGATGGTGGTATCGGGGCTTGCTTTGTGCGCACCTTGACTATTCTACCGGTTAACTTTGCCAACTAAGGCTAAGGCAGATGAAAAGAAATCACTTAAGGGTCGTTTGGTGGGGTGTATAAGAATAGTACTGAATATGATGTATTACTAATTATGAGATTAGTTATGTGGAGATTATTTCTTATCCACTGTTTGGGTTGGTGTATTAAAAATAGCATTGCATAGGGGTGTATACATGCTTATCCATGTATTTAAAACCATGGTATTACCGTATTACTATGCCATGGTTTACTATGTATTAGTTATATATAGGATAATACCAAATAGGGTATATAACTAATACATGTATTAGTTATACATATGTTGAAAAACATTACCAAACTATGGATTAATAATACCAAAGCTAATACATGTATTATTTTCGCCTAATACATCCTACCAAACGAACCCTTAGTGTTTTTAGCTTTGCCCAGTAAGGCTTAGGACTTGGAAGAATTTTCCTGCCTTTAGCTGAGCTTAATGTTCCTTCTTTTCCCACTAAGCTTGTTACCTAACATGAGTCTTGGTGGGGCATTGAATAGTATACATATTTGGGTGCTAATAACCAAAGCCAGGTCTTTATTGGCTGCAAAGTAGTAGAAGCCTGTTTAACATAGTTTTATAGCTAATGAGAGTACCCACTTACCCAACTACCTTTTCTTGACCAGTAAAATATCATCAAAATGCTGCATTTGCTTAAAGATTATGCCTTATGAGCATCTTTAAAGATCATTCTTTTGAAGATCTCTAAAGATCATGCCTTTTGAAGATGTTTAACGATCATGCTCCTTGTAAACAAAAAAAGATTTCTAAAGGTCATGCTTTGGTTGAAGATTATGCTTTGTGATTCATACTTGATGGTTGGGTATCCAGTTCTTTTTTTGGGGGCAACCACATTGGTTTTTGTTTTATTTTCAAATCTTCTAAGGGGAGTGTCATAAAATATGGATTTCGTTCTTATTGAGTTTCACTATGCCATGAAATATATCAGAAAGCTTACACTGTCTCTTGTGACATTAAGTACCTAAATGGCTAAATAAGTGGGCAACTCTGCTTAAGTTTCGGGTTTATTGATTAGCATAGATATTTCCTTAGCAGCCTTCAAATTCTGTGTTAAGCGCTTACTTAGTGGACTTTCTTGCTTAGGTTCTTTAAACAGAGATGAATGCTAACAGCTATTTGGACACTCCTTGTTAACTTTCTTTTTCTAGATGACTTATAGTCAGTTTGGCCAAACACCTAGGAAACTGGCCTGGTGACAAGCATCTTGAATTAAACTCCTACAAATTGATCATTGTTCCTGACATATTGTTACTAACATTAACATTCACAAATACTGTTCACAATTAACAAGATGCCAGGAACTAATGGCGGAGCCAGGAATTTCAAATTTTAAATTTCAGTAAGGAGGTTCAAAATATGAAGAAGTAAAGGGGATTTAACATCTACTATATATACATAAAAAATAATTTTGACCTAGTAGATATAGTTTCGGCCCCTGTCTCCGCCTGTGCCAGGAACACGATCAAATTGTAGCAATCTGGGTTGCATATATCTCCACGTTTGATATTTCTGGTCTCTCTTAGGTGGGTCAAAACCTTACTGCAAATAAATCCGTATTCATGGCATATCATCAAAGCTACAGCCTACAACGTAAGATCTACGTAGTTTGCACATTTGAAGAAGCATTGATGAGATGCCATGAATAGGATCTATTTGGAGTGGTTCTGAATTCTGATGGATGTATGTAGTGTTCCTTAAGGATCTTTATATAGGTGGTTTGAAAGGCTTAGCAAGAAATTACAATTAATTTGGTCTGACCCAATTGGGTATCTTATTTATATTTCGGATTGACTAAATGAAATAACGGATTCAGTTTGTTAGCATAATGCACGTGGAAATTAATGCATCTCCAATCCATTTATTTTCAAAATCTACTTTGTAGATTGCAAAATAAATTACTATTAATATCTTCTTTTTTTCATAAAAAAAAGTTACTACTAATTGATACATAATCTGCAAAATAAATTACTATTAATATCTTCTTTTTTTTCATAAACAAAAGTTACTACTAATTGATACATAATCAAGTAAGAGAAGAGTTTAGGTATTTGGCTAAGCTTTTGGATAAAAAAAAGAGTGATTTTGAGTAGTAGCAAAAACTCTTTTCTGCTATAGGTAAGAAGTGAACTTTGTAGCTTCTCTTGAGAAGCAAAAGTAGAAAATTAATTCTTTCAGTACAAAAAAAATGCTTAGCAAACATTTATATTTACCAAAATATTGCTCATATATTTAACCCGTTTATTCTCAGCTATAAATACAATTATATGAGATGTATATATTTACCATACTATCCCTCCTTAAAAAATAATTATATATTGAATGATATACTTTGATATATTTAAGTCACATGATGTTTTGTAAAATTTTCAATAATAGCACTTTGATTTAATTATGTTTATAGGGCAACCCAGTGCACTAAGCTCTCGCTATGCCGGGGTCCGGGGAAAGGTCGGACCACAAAGGGTCTATTGTATGCAGCCATACCCTGCGTTTCTGCAAGAGGTTGTTTCCACGGCTCGAACCTGTGACCTCTTGGTCACTTGGCAGCAACTTTACCAGTTACGCCAAGGCTCCCCTTCGATTTAATTATGTTTATATTGATTAAAGATGTTAACATACTTTTTTATTGAGATTTTAACATTTTAATGGAACAACAACATACCCAGTATAATACCACAAGTGGGGTCTTGAGAGGGTAGTGTGTACGCAGACCTTATCCCTACCTCGTGGAAGTAGAGATGTTGTTTCCAAAGACCCTCGACTCAATGACAACATTTTAATGGAATAAAATTGAAAAATCTTAAAGCCTTTTATACTGAACATTTAAAATTATTTATCTATTAAATAATTTCATTGTTCCTTGAACCGAGGGTCTATCGGAAACAACCTCTCTACATTCACAAGGTGGGGTCCTTCCCCAGATTACACTGGGTTTGTTGTTGTTGTTATCTATTAAAATAAATACTACTAATTGTAAAGTGAATCTTTGTATGTCTTTTTTCGTAATTTGGCACTGGAAGCACTTTTTTGAAATGTTGATCAAACACAAATTGCTTATGTAATATTGATAAAATACTTCTCAAATGGATTGATGGAACACAAACTACTACTCGTTCAAAACACTTATCTGATAATCTATTTCTAAAGAAGTCGCTTCTCAAAATAAGCAGATTTGGGAAGCTTGACCAAATAGACCTTTAACCTTCTATGTTTCTCCATTGACAAATGACAAGTTTGCTCAATCCTATTCTGGGACTAGCTCCTGTGGTCTTTAGTACCTCACTATGCAGTATAAATCTCCGTATATCTGTTTCCGATGGTAACCTCATACTTGTGCAAGCCTTTGCTTCTGAAGCACATCTACCCCGGGAGTTTCTGAGTTTTTAGACAGATGTAGAAGCATTCTTTTTCTCTTAGTTGCCAGGTCTAAGATCTGGTCAAAGAATGTCTTTTCCTGTGAACAGAAAATTTCTCTTTAATTGCTTTCAAGATGNTATAGTTCCAAGTAGTGCTTTTCGCCAGATAGATTGTGTTCAGCAGTGTTGTTGTAACTTATCTAAGAGCTTGCTCATGCTGTTTGTAGGGTAATGATGTGGGCACCCAATACAGATCCGGGATTTACTTCTATACACCTGAGCAAGAGAAAGCAGCACTTGAATCCCGGGACAAACAGCAAAAGATATTGAACAGGAATATTGTTACGGAGATCTTGCCTGCTAAGAAGTTTTACAGAGCTGAGGAGTATCATCAGCAGTACCTTGCAAAGGGCGGTCGTTTTGGTTTCAGGCAGTCTACTGAGAAAGGTTGCAATGATCCCATCCGATGCTACGGTTAAGGCAGTTCTATTTGCAGGAGAAAATAAATGGATTTCCTGTTTGTTCTTGTAAGCTGCTATGGTTGTTTATAGGCTTGAAGTTGTGCTTCTGAAGTAGTGTATTTAATCTACACCTTATTTATTTTACAGGAAATAGCAAACGGTATATTATTGCAGTTGCAGATTGTTTCATCTTTGCTAGTATGATTTCGAGTGAAAGCTCTAAATGCAATCTTACATNTATAGGCTTGAAGTTGTGCTTCTGAAGTAGTGTATTTAATCTACACCTTATTTATTTTACAGGAAATAGCAAACGGTATATTATTGCAGTTGCAGATTGTTTCATCTTTGCTAGTATGATTACGAGTGAAAGCTCTTAATGCAATCTTACATTGTACATATTTGAAAGGCCATGGGCTGTTTCTGAGAATAGAAAAACCATACTTTATTAAAAAAAAAAGGTTCAGGAGTGGCTAAAATTTGACACACTTTTGTACTGGAGTTTGAGTTGTGACAAATGTTAGACAGTAACAACTCTAGAAACCTGGATAAAATGCAAGATGGTCAGAACCACAATGTAAACTGACTTGCTTGCTCGACATTCAATTACAGTATCAATCCATAGTTGAAACTTTATTCTAGATGCTGCAAAAATTATTTGGACCTTAAAAATTGATGCTCTTGACTATTAAGATTGATATTAGAATTGCTAGAAAAAATGTAGGGAAAACTGTAAATCACATAACACAACTCTGCAACTGGGAACTTGTATTACTGAAATAGCTAACTACTACTACTACTACAAAGAAATAGTAGCTGATAAGTAAGGAAAATGGGGGACAGTGGAAACACTGAGGAAAGGAAGGAAGGGGAGGTGAGAAGCAGAGAAACAGAGAAAGGGGATGTAAGAGTACAACTCTAGCAACAACAATTTGCTTAAACCACACAATGCAACACACGCCTTAATCCCTAAATCCCCTAGTCCTTCTTAGCCGTGGGGCGGGTTTGCTAACTCACCAAATGGGTCCTCCATCGGGGCCGCATTCATAACAATATCATTAATAAGAACCTCACCCTCAAGGTTCTGAGTAGAGCAACACTAAGATCTTAGCATTGTCCTGTTCATCTTTGCATGTGTTAACAACCCAGATGAATTCTTCGCCAGAAGCTTTTATTTCCAAATTAAGTTCTCGGTTCATTTGATCCACCATTCAGTCGAATAAGTTCGCATAAATAAACTTTGCCGATGCATCTCCTGTAACATTACCTGCTCCATATTTAAATTCTCGACAACTTTATCCTTGGCAATTGGAGTTTTGCATTTTGATAAAAAAATTGCAAAAGGGGGAAGTGCACAAACACCCGATTTCGGGCCATTGTGTAAGTTGTACCCTAAGTTCACAATCCACAGCTAAAATTCACTACATGCGTACAAGAAGTAGCACAATCCACGTCTAAAAGTTACAAATTTTGTATGTAGTTGGAAACTTCAGACGAAAACGTCTTAAGTATATACAAAAAAATAGTGCACTTCAGAGACGTGTCATAAGTGCATTTTAATCGCATTTTTTACAATTATGATGAAAACGTCTTAAGTACATGCAAAAAATTGGCAGAAGTAACCAATTTTTTGCAAGCACGTAAGACATATTCGTCGATAGTTCAGATTGCTTAGAAACAGAGACTTGTTCTTCGAATCCCAATAATCCAACACACGATTCTAGGCCCAAACCTACTCCAAATAAGCTCAAATTGAAACATATGTTCCAAATACCATAAAGAACAAAACTCTAACCGTTAATTAGTCAAAACAACAAATGTAACAAATACATTTTACAACTAAAATGGAGATGAAAAAGAAACCTTAAGCAGCAACAAAGAAAGGAGCTTTGCAACAGTTCGCTACTGTAAAACACCATAAACTATCTTACAACCTACTCACAACATGTAAACCAGTCATCACCTCTATTGCCACATCAATTAAGGAGGAGGAAAAGCAAGAATAAGTAACTTGTCTGAAGTTGCCCGTACTTTTTTGTTAAACTTTTCTTAAAAAGTGGGTACAGATTAAATGGAGGGCGACCAAACAAGGCGCCTCGTGAATTTTTTATTCATAAGGCCATTTTCCTATGCCTTCAATATATGAACTTTTCTGCTTCAACATAGCACCAGCACAAGGAACTAGTTTAGGAATCTTGATGATATTCCTAACAACCGACATTGCATCTGTAGGTTTCCTTCTACTTCATTCGATAGATCAATACTAGCACCAATTAGAAGTACTGCAAATGCTTTTGGATCCACTCAATCAACAATGAAAGTGAAGAACACATCCGCAGTTTTCTCCAACCAGCAGAAAAACATTGTTGCTCAAAAGCACTTTTAATTTTTGGCCGAACCCCTCAAATCCCAAAAAAGGGTGCCTTTTGGCTTTCCAAAATTTGGCCCAACTGGGTATTAAAACACAATAGCGCAATTGATAATTGCACATAAAAGGAGTTTTATATCTCCTAAACAGTAGCGGCAAGCCCAAAATAAAAGTTAAGACATTGAAATGGCAGCACATTATTAATCCTTGAAAGATCAAGAATAGTATCCTGACAGTGCTGGTATTTCTTGACCAGGACATTCAACAATAAAAATAGAACAATTGTGCCTCAACCCGAAACAAAGTTAAGATCAGCTATAGCTATATGAGTCCACTGTTAACCACCAAAAGTTTTCTCTATATCTCGCACTTAACCTGCACGAAATAAGATGATTCACCTTAGTTCAACTACTTCTACACTGCCTTCACCTTCCGCAATCCTCCTTTATTTGATCTTGATATTGGTTACGACTTACGCCTAGCGAAAATAAGTTTAGTTGATCAGAAAATTCATACACCAAAAAAGGGAAAAAAGAATTACAGAAACTAAAAGAAGTTGTTAACAAAGAACAAATGAGTTTAATAATCAACACCAAGAACAGTCTCAACGTTAGAGGCAAGAGCTAAACTGAAATTCATGAAAGCCGGACTAGATGGAGCTCATGCTATTAGTGCACTTAAAATTGTAAAAATCAAAATTCAGTTTCCCTAAACATCCATGCGACATGCTGGTATTGGTTACATTGTTTTGAATCGAAGATAATGTTCAACAAAAGGCAGTGAAAAGCAGCATATTTCACCTTACATCTGAAGTACAACAGTAGTTCACATTTCTACGTGGAAAAAAGAAATCAGGAAATTTAGTCCATCATTTGCACCAGATAACTAAAGCAAGCATCTTGCATGGTAAACATGCTACGTGAATTGGAGCAACTTCAATTTGCATTTCTTCTAAAAGAATCAGAAGGTGGGCAGTTCATTCATTCAATAAGAAGTTAAAGCCCATTGTCTGATCAGTAGTTTGGAATATCAAGCTGTAGAAACGTAAGTTGCTTGGACTCGGCGCGGGTGCCCAATGCATGTGTGAATCTAGAGGTCAAATCCTTCATGATCTAAATTTCAACATACGAGGGTACAGATCCAGGTATAGATACGGGTTGGGGGATTCAACTAAAAATAATTCAAATATCTAAAAATAGAGTTGTAAAATATGCCTAAATTATGAGACATTATTTGGAAAACTCACACGGTGCCTAAATTTTTATACACAAGGTATTCCATTTTTTTACTTTTACCCTAACTTTTGTTTTGATTTAAGAAACTATTGTATCTGTCCCGATTTTCTCTGTAGATTTGGTCAAAGTACCCAAAATCGATTGACTAGATCAGGTACGGATCGCACACCCACACCCATGTCGTGTTGACACGGGTGCAACACCAAACTTGAAGAGTCCGAGAAACTTAGGTAGAAACCAACAAAATCAATGTAGATTACACAAACAAGATTAAAATAATCACTCAATTGATTCAAACACCCATCAGTATACATGACAAGAACTGAAGAGAATCAGCAAAAAGCATTAAACTAAACACCCGTTTCATGTTGACTCAATGAAGAATTATACCTATGAGTTGCAATGGAAAGAGAGTGTAATGTAGCAATCGGTACAAGTTCACTACTTGATAGGAAATAGCCATTTGCAGATTAGATAAATGTTTCTTTTAAGGATAGTCAAGGCTTATTTCAGCAAGTCTAAAACTAAGAGGACGGATAAGTGTTAATTCCGTCATGTGGTTATACAACCATCTAAGTTATTCTACTATAGCATTCAAGACCAAACAAAAGCTATAAAAGGTAGGAAATTAAGCATAATGCAGGTGACAAGATACCAACATTCGCATAGTAGACATAAATGGAATAGTAAGGAATCGAAAAGTTGAAATGACATGGAAGTGCACATAAATATAAAATCATACTTTAAATATCAAAAGTACAAAGGAATAGTCTTACACGAGTACCTCGTTAGTACATTCTTCCCAAGCACTTACGCGAACCACATCTACAATTCTTTTTCTTCAGATTACCATTTGCATCATAAACCTGATCAATCTGGTAGTTGTAGTCATAAGTAAGCTCTTCTAATGGAGCAATACTCTTGGAAGCGAAAAACATTATGTGAGGTACTCTCCTATCACCATGGTCATACATGACATTTTGAGCATAAAGGTTTGGAGAGCAGCTGTGGTTGATAAATCTTCCAACGTTCCCATATCGTGCTGCATCAAGGGTAAAGCCATCTTCATCCTTCCTCTGAAAAGAATTTGACTCAACTGCGAACTTTTTATTCCTTTTGGGGGTTTCTTCATCATAGTTGCCAACATCAAACAAGTACTCATCATGATCTATTCTCCTTTCGGCTTCCTTTTCATCAAGTAACTCCCCAACATATTCACACATAAAACTTCCAGATGATACATAGTCCCTCGACCTCAAACCCCATCCTCTTGATTCGGTCTTGAAAACCTCCAAGTGGTACCGTGGACCATGTTGGCTAACTCTATTTTTGCAAGAAGGAGGGCATTTGCAAGACGGACCACACTCGTAAACAAGAGGCTTTGCTCTAATAATAGAGCCTCTTGTGTTGAATGGAATCTCACCTCCATTCCTAGAAGCACAAGAGCATTGCTCAGAATCCGAGCATCCACTTGTGCAGCTGCAACCTTGAGGCATAGAGATGCAATACCAATCTGGATACTGCATGCTGGTAATGTAAGTGAACGGTGGGGGTCTCTCATCATTGATTGCATTGACAGCAGGGATCAGTATCTTCTCCTTTCCTTGCGAGATATCACAGTCCACAACAATCTCCCGCTGCACAAACTGCATAACTGATTTTGTTGCCTTATTAACATTTTGACGAAAGTGATTTACCTTGCCTAAATTTGCTGGCCGTGACACTAGTTCACAAGTAAGTTTTGATTGGGCAGAATTTCTTTTCAGTTCGAACTTGAAAATAAATTTTCCAGTTGAAC